GTGCAGTGGTGCAGTCATAGCTTGCTGTAACCATGACTTCCTAGGCTCAAGCGATCCTTTTGCCTCAGCCTCCCAAGAAGCTATGACTGCAGGCACATGGCACCACACCTGGCTAATTTAAAAAAAAATTTTTTTTAGGGAAAGGGCCTCACTGTGTTGCCCAGGCTGGTCTCAAACTCCTGGTCTCAAGTGATCCTCTTGCCTCGGCCCTCCACAGTTCTAGGATTACAGACGTGAGCCACTATGGCTGACCCTTACAAGTTGATCTTTTAATTATAGCCATCATCGTGGGTGCCTTATTGTGGTTTAAACCCATGTTTCTCTAGAGACTAATGATGTTGAGCATCTTTTCATGTGCTTATTGACCATTTGTATATCTTCTTTGGAAAAATTTCTATGTAGATCCTTTGCCTATTTTTAAATAGGATTATTTTTCATTTTATTATTCAATTCTGGGAGGTGTTTATTAGATAAAAGTTCCTTATCAGGTATGTGATTTGTAAATATTTTCTCCCATTCTGTGGGTTGTCTTTTCAGTTGCCCTATGGTGTCATTTGGTACTCAAAACTTTAAAATTTTGAAAAAGTCCAGTTATTTATTTATTTATTTCATTGCTCATGCTTTTGGTGTCACCTCTAAGAATGTATTGCCAAAGCAAAGGTCATAATGATTTAGCCCTCTGGTTTCTTTTCTTTTTTTTTTTTTTCTGTCGCCCAGGCTGGAGTGCAGTGGCCGGATCTCAGCTCACTGCAAGCTCCGCTTCCCATAGCCCTCTGTTTTCTAATAAGAGTTTTATAGTTTTAGCTCTTAACGTTTAGGTCTCAGATCTGTTTTGTATTAATTTTTGTATATGGTGTAAGGTAGGTGTGCAACTATATTATTTTGCAAGGGATATCCAATTATCCCAGCATCATTGGTTGAAGAGACTGCTCTTTCCCCACTGAACTGTCTTGGCACCCTTGTTGAAATCAATTGACCAAGAGGTAAAGGTTTCTTTATGGACTCCTTATTCCCTTCCATTGATACGTTTGGTCTTCTCTTGTCATATGTCATTAACTAGCTATTTGATTTGTATATATCTTAAATACTACAGGGACTTTGTTATTATTATTATTATTACAATCTTTGGTTACTAAGGAAATGTTCATGGTAAAAAATTAAGACACAAAAGTACCAAAAGTGAAAATCCTGCCGCAGTTGCTCCTGTCCCCACTTGCAGGACCTCATCCTCTGAGTACTTTGCTAAGCAGTTTTGTAGATTTCTCCCAGAGCAGATCTGTATATGTGTCTTACGTGCATGCATGTGAAATCCAAATGCAATTCACACTTGTGGAAATGCGTATGTGGATACGCATATATTCAAATTCAGCAACATTTATATTTGTATGTCTGCATTATTTTTTACAAAATTGAGATGTACAAAAAATTCTACGACTTTTTAAACAATCAGCAGTGTATCTCATGTGTCTTCCATGACAGTGTATATGTATTCTACCTTGTTCTTTCTTAATGGGTCCATAAAATTCCATAGGGTGTATACGCCAGGATTTCCTCAATCAGTTCTCTATCGTTGGATGTTTATGTGGTTTCCTTTTCTTTTTTCCCTATTTCCTCCAGTGTCACAGTGAGTGTCCTTCCACATGCCTCTGTGTACATGGGGGAGTACTTTTCTCAATGAGATATTCTGGAAGTGGAGTTGCTGATCATGTCTTTTGTCTTACAGTAATTTTTAATGTCTTTCCCTCAGCTGTGCTTTATTATGCCTTGCACATATTAGGCACTTAATAAATATTTACTAAAGTGAATGCTTAAGGATTTTTATCCTGGATTGATCCCCAGCTTGCTGTTTCATTTTAGTAAACTGTTTTATGACACCCTTAGGCCTATTTCACATCCTCTAAAATGAATGAGAGTTTTGGTTATCCAGTCTTCATTAGGGGAACTGAGGTGAAATTAGTCAAGCAGTATTTTGATTATCTACTGTATGTGTGGCCCTGGAGGTGTACAGAGATAAGTGAGATGCAGGCTTAGCCCTCAAGGTATTTAAAAACCATCAGGATAGGCAGGCGGGAAAGGCAGGCGGGAGGTGTAAGTACTTCTCTGAGAAGCACATGTGTGTTGTCGGGGGGCTCAGAGGAAGGGAAGAGGTGGTACTGGCACACCTCAGAGGTGGTGCAGGCATGGCTCCAGATACCATAGTACAGCGGATGTCAAAATAAAGCAAATCATGAACTTTTTGGTTTCCTAGTTGTATGTAAGAGTTGCGTTTACACTATACTGTATTCTCAAGTGTAGACTAACATTATGCCTAAAAAGTGTATATACCTTAATTAGAAATACTTTATTGGCAAAATATGCTAATGATCATCTGAGCCTTTAGCGAGTCATAACCTTTTTGCTAGTGGGGGGTCTTGCCTACGTGTTGATGGCTGCTGACTGATCTGTATGGTGGTTGCCGAAGGTGGGGTTGACTGTGAAGGTTTTACACAATAAGACAACAATGAGTTTGCCATGTCGATCAGCTCTTCCTCTCACAAAAGATTCCTCTGTAGCATACGATGCTATTTGATGGCATTTAACCCACAGTGGAACTCCTTTCACAACTGGAGTCAGTTCTCTAAAACCCTGCTGCTCGACTCTGTCAACTAAGTTTGTGATCCTATTCTAAATACTTTGTTGTCATTTCAACAGTGTTCACAGCATCTTCACCAGGAGCAGATTCCATCTCAAGAAACCACTTTCTTTCCTCATCCATAAGAAGCAACTCCTCATCTGTTCAAATTTGATCATGGGATTGCGGCAATTCAGTCACATCCTCAGGCTCCACTTCTAATTCTACTTTTCTTGCTGTTTCCACAACATCTGCAGTGACTTCTCCATTGAAGTCTTGAACCCCTCAGAGTCATCCGTGAGGGTTGGAATCTACTTCTTTTAAACTCCTATTAATATTGATTTGTTGACCTCTTCCCATGAATAATGAATGTTCTTAATGGCATCAGAATGGTGAGTACTTTCCTCAGAGTTCTCAATTTACTTTTCCCAGGTCCATCAGAGGAGTCACTATCTATGGCAGCTCTAAGCTTATGAAATGAATTTCTTAAATGATAAGACTTGAAAGTCATAATTACTCCTTGATTCATGGGCTGCAGAATGGATGCTGTGTTAGGAGGCATGAAAACAACATTCATCTTGTACATCTCCATCAGAGCTTTTGGGTGACGAGGTGCATTGTCAATGAACAGTAATATTTTGAATGGATTCTTTTTTCCTGAGCAGTAGGTCTCAACAGTGGGCTTAAAGTATTCAGTAAAGCATGTTGTAAACAGATGTTCTGTCATCTAGACTCTGTTGTTCCATTTCTAGAGCACTGGCAGAGTAGGTTGAGTGTCATTCTTAAAGGCCCTAGAGTTTTCAGAATGCTAAATGAGCGTTGGCTTCCATTTAAAGTCACCAGCTGCATTAGCCCCTAAAAAGAGAGTCAGCCTGTCCTTTGAAGGTTTGAAGCCAGGCATTGATTTCTCCTCTCTAGCTATGAAAGTCTTAGATGGCATCTTTTCCCAGTAAAAGACTGTTCTGTTTAGTATCACCACCTTCATCAATGATCTTACCTAGATCTTCTGCATAACTTGCTGCAGCTTCTCCATTAGCACTTGCTGCTTCACCTTGCACTTTTATGTTACGGAGACGCCGTCTTTACTTAAGTCTTGTGAACTAACCTCAGCTCACTTCAGTCTTTTCTTCTACACCTCCTCACCTCTGTCTTGACTGAATTGAAAAGAGATAGAGCCTTAGGCTCAATTAGGCTTTTGCTTAAGGGAGTACTGTGGCTGGTTTGATCTTCTATCTAGACCACTAAAACTTTCTCCATGTCAGCAGTGAGTCCGTTTCACTTTCTTACCATTCATATGTTCACAGGAGTAGCATGTGTAACTTCTTTCAACAACTTTTCCTTTGCATTCACAACTTGGCTAACTGTTAGGTGCAATAGGCCTAGCTCTCAGCCTGTCTTAGCTTTCGACATATCTTCCTCACTAAGCTTAATCATTTGTAGCTTTTGATTTAAAGTGAGAGATATGTGACTCTTCCTTTCATTTGAACACTTAGAGGCCATTGCAGGATTATTAATTGGCCTAATTTTGTTGTGTCTCAGGGGATAGGGAGGCCCAAGGAGAGGGAGAGAGATGAGGGTGGGGGAATGGCTGGTCGCTGGAGCAGTCAGAACACAACAGCATTTATTGGTTAAGTTCGTCATCTTACATGGACAATGTTCTCAGTGTCCCAAAACAATTACAGGAATAACATGAAACATCACTGATCACAGATCACCATAACAAATACAATAACAATGAAAAGCTTCAAGTATCGTGAGAATTATCAAAACATGACACAGAGACACAAAGTACATGCTGTTGGAAAGACAGCACCAGTAGACTTGCCTGATGCAGGCTTGCCACAAACCTTCAACTTGTAAAAAAAAAAAAAAAAAAATGTGTTATCTGCAAAGTGGAATAAAGAGAAATGCGATGGACAGAGGTACTTGTGCTTCATTTGGATGCTGTTGAGGGGCAGCCTTCCCTGGAGAAGGGGACATTGAGATACCTCCAAAGAAAGGGTATGATTTGGACAGGTGGAGATGTCCCAGAGAGGGAGGTGGCGGGAGGTGGTTCAGAGGGAAGAGCATGCCTGAATTCAGAGGAGGTGAGAAAAGTGATACATCAGGTTCCCCTGAGGACTGGGTGTGTGGAGGGGAGTGGTGGGGGTGAAGCTGCAAAGCCAGCAGGGGGCATACATTGGTAGGCTTAGGAGTCCGGACGGGCTCGGCGTGGACCTGGTAGGCACTGGGCCACCACGAGAGGAGTTTTAGTAGAATTGCTTTGTTGGAGTTGGTCTTGAGGAAGCAGTGCATTCAGTTAATTCTAGGACCTGAATAAAGAGGAGGCTTTGCTTCCAGACACTTCTGTGACATAACTTTTTCTTGTCCCTCCTTTCTGCTTCCTTAGCTGTCTGAAAACGTGGTGAACCGCATGAAGGAGCCCAGCTCTCCAGCCCCTGCTCCTGCACCTTCTACCTTGGGCCTTCAAGATGGCAACTTGAGAGCCCCTCACAAAGGTATGGGGGTTGTGACAGTTCTGTGGAGTGTGGAGAGACAGTGAAAGGAGTGATGGGTGCTCACCCGAGCCCACCCGACGGCATGTGGAGCTCAGGTTGGCTTCGGGATGACGTTAAGCAGCTCTGTCTGGTAAGGGCTTTCCGGAAGAGCATGGCTTTCTGGGAGTGACAGGCGCTGTCATCAGAGCTGCCAGGATTCGGGCCAGACCACCTTCCCTCTGTGTCACTTTCTCCATGTGGGAATTGAGGCAGAAGGACCTGAGTTGACAGCTCAGGAAAGAAGTTGCCTTTAAAGGCCCTCAGAGGCAGCATAGCCATGACGCAGCTTCAGCCACTCTAGCCTAACTCCCAAATCAAAGAATGATGTGGATTCACGTGAATGGGACCAAATGTGGGAGAATTCCGTCAGTGACTTAGGCGCCTGCCACAGCAGCCCTCACCTGAGCCTCAGGTTGAGAGCTCCTGTCTTGGCCCTTGGAATGGTTCCTCTGGGCTTCTAGGACCTAGGAGTTCCTCTTCCTGGCCGACTGTGAAGCTGGTGCTCAAGCCAAGCTGAAAGCAGATTTGTTCCCTACTCTATTGTACCTGTTGCAGATGAAGAAATTTGTGCTTTCCCCAATTAACAACTTGTAGCAAACACGAGGAAATAAAATTTTAAGAAAAAAATTTGTAAGGCATACAAATGTTAAAATATTACAAAATAAAGTACTTGGAGCAACTGCTCAAAACATACTTGTTTTTGAGAACTTGGGTCTGTCTACCAGACTCAGTAACTCGATTAAAAAAAAAAAAGATTGGCTGGAGGCACCATGCCACCACGGAAGGACCGACTGTTTACATGGAGAACCACGCACTAGATTGTTCATCTCTGGCCTGGTCTCGCGTTACAGTTGCCTTTTCTACTCATCTTCCCTGTTGGGTTGTAAGAGTTTAGAAGATGAGAGCTGTATCCTGCCCACTTAGTGTTTACTGAAGGCCACCCAGAACCAGGTCCCGTGCCCTGTGCCAGGACACAGTGATAGGTGGGCAGGGACCCTCTCTCATGGCACAGCTGGCTCTGGTTATAGAGCCAGATGTCAGCCCTGATGTCGTGTTGTGATGCAACACTAGAATCTGTCCCGGGAGAGGAGGGACTGTGAAAGGCAGGACAAATGGTGGTGGGTGGGCACTGCGGGTGGGCAGACAGCAGGAGCAGAGGTCCGGAGGCAGGGTGCATCCCAGCCTGCTCAGGGGCCTAGAAGCATTGCTGTCTCTGGAATACAAGGTACAAGGGAGGGGGAGATGTTGGAGTGGCACTCGGGAGCCAGGCCATGGAGGCCTCCCCATGGTGGCCAGAGAACTCTGGCTTCATCTTCAAGGGGATGCCTGCCAGGTGTCCCGACACCTCCACCCCTGTGCTGTCTGCCTGGGAGCCAGTGAGCACCTGGATTTGGACCCACCCCAAGATCTTTCTGAATATCTACCACTGAAGGGGATGTGTAAGATTCCCGAAAACCCCCCAAGAAGCCCTTCTCCTTTGCCAATAGGGCTCACTTACTCCCTACGCAGCTCTAACTGATGAGAAGGGCTTGAGAGGGGTCTAACTTGACCCAATGCACTTTAACAAACTGGATTAACTCGAAAGAGGGAGAAAGTGATGATAAAAGTGAAAATTGCCATAATATATAATACTACACATCAGTTTCAGCTTTAGAAGAAATAAGCATTTGCTTCAGTTTGGTAAGTTTTGGCAGTTTGGAAAGCAAGAATAGTAGTTCTTTGTCACTTGGAGTTAGTTATAACAAAATACTTTGCTGTTTAAATGATAGATGTGAGTTTTGTTTCTGAATGTTGAAGAGTCAAAATGACTGTCTTGAAGTTAACTAATTTTAAGATATTTTGTACTTTTAAAACCAGTTTTTGCTTTATTTTAGTAATGGAACGAAGTTAGAAAAAGAAGTTAAAATTCTCATACCATACCCCCCCAAAAATGTCAGAGGAAATAAAAGATTGAAATGTATGGCTTGAAGCCATAAAAGTACAATAAAAGATGGATTTTCTGCACATCATATTAAATGAAGAAACCTTAAATTAAAAAAATAGGAAATGTGAATATAAGAAATTAGACAGTTTAGAAAAGAAGAAACAGGAATGGATAAGTTAGAGAAAATATAACATTGGACAGAGTCATAGTAATCTTAATATGTAGCGAGTTCTTAAAGATCTTTAAGAAAGACAGCTCAGTAGGAAATGTGCACAGGTGGCCATGCTCATGACAAGATCTCCATGTCACTAATACTGGAAGAAACGCATATTCAACACTGTGCACTCCCAGGGAGCGGGGATCGGGCAGGGGCACACAGAAGGGGCAGTGAGGATGAGTGCCACATGCTCTACATCGGCAGGCCTGTTATTTTTGTAGTTAAAAAATGGAAAATTATATAAAAAACAAAAATACCAGGCATTAAACCTCAGTAGAACTCTTCAGGCAAATAAGTAAGCATGGGGAGCACTGGTGTGGAGATGAAACCCCACAGCAGCCTCCTGCATTCACCTCAGTTGAGAACCTGGTGTGTTGCTGAGGAGCATGGGAAGTGCTCTCCTCCCATGAGAGGTGGTTTGAAAGTGTGAGTCACAGCTGACGCTTTCAGAAGTGCCCCCTGAGGTGTCCCTGATGGGTCTGGAGTTGGAGTTGCACACCTTTATTGAGCACCTCCCACAGCCTGGTTCTTACACTATGTTCTGTGTGGTTCTGGCTGCTGGTGCATAGAACCCTGTGGTGGAGGGAGGTGTGGGACATCGGAGAAGGCCAAGAAAGGTGGTGAGCTTTGGCTGACAGAGAGCTTTGGAAGGGTGAAGGCTGGGGATGGCGTAGTAACAAAACCTTCAGTATCAGCAAGTGGTGGGGATAGTGAATTAGATTTGCTCAGAAATCCCCAAATCCGTGATGATCAAAAGGGACCTTCTGTAACAACAGAAAGAGCCCAATAATACTAGGGGCAATAGGGGTTAAGTAGAACTAGGTTTAATATGTGGCATTTGCCACACTGGGGATTGTGCAGACTCAGGTGGGTACTAAGGGAAACAAGATTTAAAGAGCCCCCACCCCTTCCCTTCCCTATGCCAAAACCTCTACCTGGGAGGTTGTCCTCATGAAGCAAAGCAATGACTTCATGCAGCCACTCCTGGCCTGTGCTTAGGAGATGACCTGGATTCCAAATAATTGTCAGGAGGGTAGGGATGGGTTTGGAACACTGCACCCAGTGTTGTGGGCATCCTGGTGCAGAGACCCCTTCGGGATAAGAGGTGGCTTGGATCATCTGGCTTTCCAGACAGCTTGAATCAAGGGTGTTCCTTGAATGCCCCTGCGAACACTCCTTTGTGGGGGCTCATCTGTAGTGCTGCCTTCCCAGGGGCACATTCATTCATGGGGGTCCTTCCTCTCTGGGTGACCTCCGTGCCTTCATGGACCCTGGGGTGCCACTGACAGGCCTTTTCTTCTCTTTCCTTTGCAGAATCCACACTGCCCAGATCGGGGAGCAGTAGTGGCCAGCAGATCTCAGGGGCAAAGGAGGATGTCAAGAGGTGAGCCTGAGAGCCTGCTTGCTCCCGGCACTGCGCTCCACCTAAAAGCCTCTTTCCTCACTGGAAACCCCTCTCCTTGCCTGAAGCCCTGGAGGGTTTGTCTCACATAATTAATCTCAGTTGCATTGAAGGACAACCCTATGGTATAGGTGTCACTGGTTCTAGTTTAAAGATTTAGAAACACCAAAAGGGGCATAGGGGAATTGATCATTAATGTTCCTCATGCCCAGCAGTTTGAGAGGCCAAGGCAGGAGGATTGCTTGAGGCCAGGAGTTTGAGACCAGCCTGGGCAACATAGCAAGACCCTGTTTCTAAAAGATAAAAAAACTAGCTAGGTGTTGTGGTGTGTGCCTGTGTAGTCCCAGTTATTCGGGAGGCTGAGGTGGAAGAATCACTTGAGTCCAGGAAGCCGAGGCTGCAGGGAGCAATGATTGCACCACTGAACTCCAGCCTGGGTGACCCTGTCTCTGGAAAAAAAAAAAATCATTTAAAAAAGCTATAACTAAACAGTTGAGTGGCTGGAACTTCTGCATGTGTGTGCACATGCAGGCATGTTTTCAAAGAGATGAGGAAGTGGAGCCCTCCCAGTGCTAGCTGTGGTTGTCCAGATGAACTGGCTCCAGGATGTTGGTGATTTTGTCAGCACAGGCCACAACACCAGGACCTGGCCACGCCTCTGACATGGGGCCTGTTGCCAGAGGAGTTTTAGCAAAGTGGTTAAGGCACAGAGGCCCCAGTGGAGCACAGGGTGGCATCTTGATCCTGCAACTTGCTAGTTATGTGAACTTGAAAAATCACTGCATCTAAGAAGAGTACTTCTTTAACTGGGCTCCTGTCATGGTTAAATATGTTACTGTATATCATGCACGTGAGCATAGCACCTGTCCTACAGAGTTCTCAGTGGACCCTCACAGTAGTTGTTACTGATTGGCCTCTTCAGCATCCTTGAGGCAATTGCCCTCAGTATGGTCAGAGGACCCAGTGGGTCAGCTTAGGGGGGCCCAGTGTCAGCCGTGGTTGGGCGTTTGCCTTCTAGTAGTTCAGCCATGTTGGGTCTGTTGCATAATCATGGGTTAAGACCCACATTCTAAGATTCACTCTCCCTAATAGGTCTCAGCAAGAATAACTGACCTGGCCAGGTGTGGTGGCTCAATCCTATAATCCCAGCAAATTTAGGAGGCTAAAGCAGGAGGATTGCTTGAAGTCAGGAGTTTGAGCCCAGCCTGAGCAACATAGTGAGACCCTGTCTCTACAAAAAAAATTAAAAACATTAACTGGGGGTAACACACGTCTGTAGTCTCAGCTGCTCAAGAGGCTGAGGTGGGAAGATTGCTTGAGCCCAGAAGTTGGAGTTTACAGTGAGTTATGATTGCACTACTACACTCCAGCCTAGGCCACATTATGAGACCCAAAACCAAAAAAAAAAAAAAAAAAAGAAAAAAAGCCAACTACTAACCTGAACCCCGCTTTTTTGGTACTTTTAAACATTTTCAAAATGGTAAAGTAATACATGCTAATGAAAGATTTAAAAATTTATCAAGTGAAAAAATCACCCATAGACTCATCATCTCAAGACAACCACTATTAATATTTTGGAGTATTTCATGTTCTTCTCCACCCAGAATCCCCTACCCACTGTTTAGGGTTATTTTTTGAAAGTCATAGATAATTTCATATCTTGCTATTTTCACTTCGTATTATAATGATTTGTCATTAGTTTCACCTGCTTTATAAGCAGTTTTATTACTAAAAGCATTTATTGGTTCTCAGTTTTTAGATTTAACCTACAGACAAATGAAAGACTATATTTTCTAGTGGTGATGTCATAGATCATTATATGATCACACCATATTTACTTTAGCTTGACCTTGATTTTGGGACATTTAGGTTGCTTGCATTTTTTTCACTATAATAAATAATACTGTTAAGAGCATCTCAGCACTAATAACTTTTTTCTTCTCTATAGGATTATTTTACTAGGCAGAATGCCCAGAAATAGGTCAAAGGGTAGGAACATATTCAGAATGAAGAGTTAAATGTTCAAAACAGAGGACTACTACCATCTCCAATCTTCAAGCTCTCAAGTGGAGGCAATCCGTGGATTGAGCCCCTCCCTGAGACTCTCACTGGGCATGGGGCTGCCTACTTGGCCAGGTCTCCTCCTGTTCCTGAGCTGTGTTGTCCTGGCTCAGTGTCATTGTCTCCCCTTGTCTGGGGAACTGTCAGTGATGCCTGAGCTCAGGCGTGGAATGATGGGGCGTGTGGTTTTACAGCACTCTCTCCTTTCCTGGCCGGCTGCTGGCTGGTGTCAGCGTTTCCCTGGCAGCTGAAGTGAGTGCGCAGACCTTGTCTTGGCTATGGGCTGCCCGTCATGTCATCTGCATCTGTTTCTCCTCATCTTTCTTCTGCACAGGTGTGAACAGGAGCATGCTGCTGTCCAGGATAAGCTCTTCCAGGTGGCAAAGACGGAAAGAGAGGCTGCCACCAAGCACTCCAAGGCATCCCTGCCCATGGGTGAAGGCAGCATCAGCCATGAGGAGCAGAAGTCAGTCCGGCTGGTGAGTGCAGATTTTCCCTGAACTAGCCTTCTGAGCTGGGCAGCACCCGGGGAAAGAGGGGGTGGGCCCTGGCACCTGGTTAGTCTGAAGCCCTGCTGGCTCAGGCTGCCCCTGGGATGTGCTCGGCTTCACCTCTGTGGAAAAGGGTCTTTTGGGAGCCAGGAACTTGGGTTCTCCCAGCCCTGGCTCTGTCAGTGATTTGCTTTGCTGCCTTTGGCATGTTTTTTCAGTCTCTGTGGCCTCAAGTCTATACAGTAAGGGACTAGATCACTTGACAGTCTCATTCAGCTCTGAAACTTCACAGATGTCAGGGCTGCAGTGGTATGTGTTTCGGGAGGGTGTGAGGAGAGAGGACTAGAGGCCTGGAGCCATGTAATATATGACAGGGAGGGCATCATCTTTAGAGTTAGGTAGGCTGGGTGCAAATCCTGGACACCCTGTCTGTGAGCCTTGCTCGAAGATCATGATGCTCACACACAGGACTGCCCAGGGAATCAGAGGAGATAGTATTTGTCCAGGACTTAGCACATGCCAGCAGACTGTGGGAGTGCACTATTGTTATTGTCATTAATACATTTAAGTGATGGGTGGCTATTAGGATATTTTTGCTTAAGTGCAGCATTTATTTTGCAACATGAGAAGTCTCAAAGTGCCCCCAGGGTTGACTAATTCAGTGGCTCACTAGCATCATCATAGACGTGATGCTTCTCTTCCTGCCACTCTGCCATCCACAGTGTGCCAGTGCATCCTAGGGAGGCTGTCCCCATGGTTAATAAAGGCTGTTACTGCCCCACAAGTCCCATGCAGACAGTAAAACCCTCAGTAGAAGAAGAGAGGCTATGCCGGCCCTTATGTCTCTATCACAAGGATAACTTTCCTAGAAGCTCCTGGCAGAATTCCTCTTACATCACACTGACTTGAATTGTACCAGGTGCCCATGGCTAAGCCAGTCCTCAGCAGAGGGGATACAGAGGGCTCCACTGGCTGCAGCTAGGGCTCTTTTCTAGTCACATTAGGGAGATTGTGCATCCAGCCAGAATTAGAACTGACAGCAAGGAAGTTGGGGGAGGGAAGCATGGCTGTGGGCAGCATCTAATAACATCTGCTGGAGGTTTGAGACCAGGAACAGCCTTGCCCTACTTTAGGTGGGTAGCCTGGTACACACGGTGTGGCCTAGAAGGGGGTTGAACATGATGTGAGAGCATCATTTGGGATTGTGCTCTCCTGGGAGGGGGGAAGGCAGACATGCTGGCTGGGCACAGGCCTTAGCTTACTAATTTGATGACTACACAAATGTTTGAAGTGTGCAGTGGGCACATAAATGCACGTTGAACCAGGCCTTCTGGGAAATACAAACAATGTAGGATCCTAGCCCTCAGGAAGTTTTAGTCTGTGGAGAAGACAAGCACTGACTTGTGCTTTGAAAAAGGCCAGTTTGGTTACAGTAGTTGTTAAATTGAGGAAAAGATTTGGAAATGCAAATGTGTAAGCTGCTGGTGGATCAGAGCTGGTAGATCAGAGAGGGCATTTAACCTCAGCCTTAAAGGATGAGGGGCAGCTGGGCTGAGACAGGCGGGTGTTAAGGAGGTGATCAGATCCAGTGAGAAGAGTGAGGTTTGAAGCCAGATTTTAGAAGGCCTTGGATGTGCTGAGGAGTTAACCCTCAAAGTAGCCCACAGTGATCCTGAAACAGTCAGTGGTTGCTGAAGTTTGTAAGGATGGGAGTGATGAGATCTGACTTGTGCTTTTAGAACCCCGTGGCATCCTGGTGAGGAATCAGTTGATACAGTGAGAAACTGGGGCCAGGGCATGCCTTCAGAGGCTCTTAGAGTCAGTCTCTGAGAGGCAGATCGGTTGTTACTCCTCTGCAGGTAGCCTGACAACCAAGTTAGAAGGACCCCTATCCTGGAGATGAAGGGTTAATCAGTATGGCATGAGCAGGAAAAGTTGGCCACCTCTAGAGATGGAAGATCACAACTTACAGGTCTGCTGTCTCTTCGTTCTCACCTGGAATGTATTAATTACAGTGAAAGAGAATTCACGGCTTCCCATTCTTCCTCCTGCAAAGGAGGTTGAGCGCCGCTTTCTCAGGACTGTCCCTTGGGGAAGAACTTGATTCCCCGCCCCACCCCAGGTCTCTAGATGGATAATAATCTCCTTTTCTGAGCCAGACTTCTTAGGGAATTGTGACGTAAGTTACTTCCTTCATTTTAAAAACATTTAACTGCTTTCATGGGCATTCTCATTTTCTGAATGCTCAGCATTCATTTCTCCATGCAACTGGTGTTCCAGTTTCCTTCTGGGAGTGTTCCTGTTTCCTGCTGTGTGTAGACTTGGTGGGACTGTAATTCCTCCATGGAAGCTGAATCTGGGCACAGTGCAAGCTCAGCCAGCTTGCACCTCATGCCTGAGGACCTTCAGTTCTGAGTGAGTACAGAGGAATGATGGGAGGCCAGGATGGGAGTTCCTCGTTGTCTCCCAGGTGTTGCGATCAGCCCCTTCATGCTATGAGGTTGTATCTTTTGCCGTCTTCTACACTTTCAGTGTACCATTGGTTTCTGTCTGGTCCTCCTGCCTTCTTGAGGTTTGGATCGTCCACTGATGACCTGCCAATTAACTCTCCTTTGCTTAAGTTAGGTGGAGTTGGCTTCTACTGCTTGATGCTCTTGGAAATGCATTTCCTATAGGAGGTGCTACTGAAGATGATGTTGAAGGTGTACAATCATATTCAGTACTCAGTACAAAGGACGAGAAAGGAAGATGGTGCTTGGCATTGTTCCATAAGTTAACAGAGACCCAAGGCAGTCAACTAAATGCTGAGCAGATGCTATGACCATCGCTTCTAAAGAAGGGGGCTCCCTTTTGGTTGGTATGGTTGGGCAGTGCTTTTAGTGGAGGTAAAACTATATTTTCAAAACTATATTCTGGAAGATTTAAATAAGAGGAGAAAGATGGAGAGAAGAACCTTACAAAAGCAGGGAAATTCTTATTTCCTCTCCTGAGTTGTCCACATGGAAAGATTGAAGGAGGTGGCTAGTTGGCAGCCTGCTGTGTGGGGTGCTGAAGGGCCTGGTGGTGTGGCAGTGTGTGGATCACAGCACATCCTCCTAGCCCTCTGGGAGGGTTGGACCCTGAGATGGATCTTGCATGGTTGCTGGCAGAATGAGTTGTCTGCCCATTCTTCCTAGGTGCCTTCTCCACTACCCCTACTGTAGTCCTCCCTGTGAATCTGTAGCCTCATCTAGAGGATTTCCTGTTGTACTGAGTGCCACTTAACATGTAGCGTGCTCTTCCATACTGTTCACTTGCTTCTGACTTTTTCCAATATTGATTTTAAAATCCTCTTCTGCATAAGGGATTGGTCCAGCTTATTATTGGGAAAAGTTCACAAAACTAATGACAAGGAATGGTAATAATTTTTCTGACCTACTTCTGATGACAGAAGTGTTTCCCTTTCCCATCTAGTGCAGCAGTGATGAACTGTTCTGTGCGTGTCGATGCATGTTTGCTGTCACTGGTGGTGTCCTGGTTCTGGTCTGAGTGAAGGCCATGGGTGTCACTGGATCCTGTGAGAGGTGTTTCTCCCTCTGAGTTGATGAAGAAGCTAGGAGTCCAAATCAAACATTCTGGGAAGAAATAAAAAGAACAGTGCTGTTGATCTGAGTCTTCTGATGGGTGGAGCCTTAAAAATCCAATGGATGGAGTAATCAAGTCCTGGCTGAGGCTTTATTTTAGGTGAGAATGAGATTTACAACCTTGCCTGTTGCATTTCTGGCACATATTATTAGTTGTATAAGAGTACAGTACACCTGATAGAAAGCAAAAACTTTCTTGGCTGGGCACGGTGGCTCACGCCTGTAATCTCAGCACTTTGGGAGGCTGAGGTGGGTGGATCACTTGAGGTCAGGAGTTCGAGACCAGCCTGACCAACACGGTGAAACCCCATCTCTAGTAAAAATACAAAGTTAGCTGGGCCTGGTGGCGCATGCCTGTAATCCCAGCTACTTGGGAGGCTGAGGCAGGAGAATCACTTGAACCCGGGAGGTGGAGGTTGCAGTGAGCTGAATCGCACCATTGCACTCCAGCCTGGGCGAAAGAGCGAGACTCTGTCTAAAGAAAAAAAAAAAACTAGAAAGTAAAAACTTTCTTTTCTTTGTTGCTGAGCAATTCTTTTATTATTTTATGATGTGTGAGTATATATATATATATATATAAACACACAAATGCACACACACATACTCTGTATTCCTGTTATATGTTAGGCACTGGGTTAATTTCCTAATAAATGGAAATAAGAGACAGCTTCTGACCTTGAGAAGATGTGTTTATTAGGAGAATTAAAATTCCCAGAATTGACCACATAGTGTTGCAAGGGTCATCCCAGAAGGACAGGAAGACACTCGAGGAGCAAGGAGGCAGTACCACCTGACACTTCCTGGTAGGATGGGAATGAATTCTAAGAGGAGTTGACATGTGAACTGGATCTTGAAGAATGAATAGAACTTGCCAGGTGGAGAGGAGGGAGGAAGGATGCTGCAGATAGGGAGCACTCTTGAGCAAAGGCCACGCTTTGGGAGAGGATGAGGTCTTTGGCTGGATTATAGGAAGCCGCAGGGTGTGGCAGCGGGGAGGCCAGAGGGGCCAGTGTAGGTGCAGTTGTGGAATGACATCCTGGAAGCCTGATGGGGAGCTCTGTGGAGCGGTTTTCTGAATCTTGAAAGAGATAAATGGGAGACAGCTGGACATTGATCACTAGGAAAATACTTCAGTGGCAAATCAAGAAGCTAAGGTCAAATCCTGCCACTGAAGATTTGGTAACAAGAGTGCTTCCCTCCCTGGACTTGCCCCTGTAACCTAAGGATCCACCAGCAGAGTAGCTGTCCTGTCCTGCTCTCCTGTTGGCAGAGGACTTTTGATCTCTCACTCTTTCATTCTCTTCAATGCCCAGATGCTCCAGGTAGCTGCCACCTTAGCTATGTGAACTGGATGCAGTTGGCTCT